CAGGGTTGCCGTCTCGCCAAAGAACTTCTGCGCCTGAGACTGGCACATGTTCCGCATGGCCAGTCCTGAAGTATATGTACCTTTCCTCACGGAAGCACGACAGGAAATGTCGGCGTTTCTTGGTGTGAGACGCTCATTTCTACTTTTGGGGAGGCCCGTTGAAGGTTCTTTCGAAAGCTTGAGGTAGCGCAAACTTGCATAAAATGCATTATTCCCACCCGGGGGTCACTAGCATTTGTTCTCTCCCTTGCTGCCAAAGCTGCCACTAACCAGGAGCACATCACTCGCTCGTGTTTGCGAAAGCGGACAGTTCCATCATTTCCGATCGGCTCACCATCAAAGGCCAGCAAAATGTCGTTGGCCTTCAAGACATGCATTTGTCATTTCACTGTCAAACACTAGCTCTGGCACAAAAGGCGGCCCTCAAGAAAATAAGAGGCCTGGACGATGCTGCTTCGATGTGTCACATTGAAATCTAGATTTCAGTTCGCTTCAAGATGCTTCAAGCCATTGTTGAGTCGCAACGTCTTCAAGCAAGGCTAGAGTTCAAGAACTGCGGGCCTTGAGCACCTCTGCTGCTGCTGAAGTTGGTGTTACTCGGTTGATGAGGACACCTTTTTGCCTCGTACGAAAGTCATCACAAGAGTTTGACCATTGCTGGAAGTTTTGTTCTAAGATCTTCACCTGTTGAACTAAACTGAACTGAGGACTTTGCTACAAGAGGAACAATAACAAATATCAAATCACACACACACGTTATTTGGTCAAACAAATCAGTAAGAAGGGCGTACAAAAACATGCATGTCAACGCATGTCAACGTTCGCCATGCGGCTTGTGGCTCATGCCAAACGCCTCTCGCAGCTGTGAATTCCTCGGATGTCATCCACCCACAACACCCCAACCACCAATATCGTCAAAAGGGGTGGTTGGTGCTGTTCTTGTTTCTGGCCGCTTCCAGCTGTGCGCTATGTGATGCCAAGACACTCCATGGTCTGGGTTTCCACACCCAATGTGGGGAAGCCAGTGTACTTCCCATGCTTCAACAAATCCTTCCTCAACAGCTACACATGCTGCTTCATCGAGGGTACTTCAGCATGCGCAAAGGAGGTTTGCAGGGTCCAGGGCCCAGAGTGAACAAGTAACTCACTGTTCCTACTGAGATCCAAGGATCAGAAAATGTGTGACTACCAAGCTGGGAATCACGTAGCCAATGTTCTCCGCTTCATCAGCGTTCATGCTCTGAAAGGCAATGCCAACACATTCCCCATTTCCTCAGCTGAGCCCTCCAAGTCTACTTCTTGCCTTTGAAAATGAATACAAACACTGCCAATACTCCTGAGTAGCTGAAACCTATATTCCTCTGGGCATCTGTTGAATGCAGGCCCACCGCTATTGCCACTATTAATGGCAGCATCGATTTGGATGCCCAACAATTCTGCAGAGGCCTGTGTGTAGGTTGTGACCTGCACCGGAACTCATGCTTCTAGTAACAAGTGCCTTACTAGTAGTAACAAGAAGCTATTAATTTAAGTCAATTCTAATAGCTTTTTGTTACTACTAGTAAGGCACTTGTTACTACTATGTAATCACTTGGAAAGGCTCCAAATGCTTCTCCACAAATGTATTCGATTCTGCATCATTTGGTCCAGCAAGGGACGCTGCAGTGCCTTTGGCACTGCAACCTCTGAATTCACCGTTCACTTGCAAACGTGAATGGAACCCATTGGATGGACTTGATGATCTCTGAACAATGGCTACAGTATTCAGTATTCTCGCCAGTTACAAGCTTGGCCCACTGTTGCTGAGACAACATGATGTTGATCAATCAGCTTCCCGTGTCCGTTGCCACAACTGCCTCGATCCGGGAGATGACACCACTGGTGACACTGATGGTATCTCCACCGATCGGAAAGCCGACACACCTTAGGTATCAACAAGATTACAGTTGCCCTAGTTGCCCTAGTTCCATCTGCTCTCGCTTGTCTACATTGTCTATCTCCCAAAGTATGTTCGGTTCTACATTGAATTGGTGCATGTTGACAAACCGGTGCCACGGCACAGAACATCCTCTTCAAGGTGAGGCAACTTTTGGCTCAGCTTCACTTGCTGAAGGCCCTCCCAGAACCTCAGCATGTTGGCAGCAGCAAAGCAGCATGTTGGGTCAACGGGGGGGGTTAGCCCGCCCGTAACATGTGGTCTGGTTTTTTCGGGTTTGGGGGGGGGGGGGGGGGGGGGGGGTCAGTTTCATCCTGGTTACGACTCGCGTACATCGTCTACGTACTTCATTGGTCCACCCGGTCACGATTCGTTCGCTGGACGACCCGCTTGTCTGGGACCCATGCTGCTCGAGAAACAGAGCAAAGTTACGGTCGTTGGTGGAGACCAAGGTACAGAAAGCTTGGCAGCAGTGATGAAAAAATCACTGCGTAGAATGGGTTTGCTTGGCCGTTGCGACGCGAAGCTGCAACGCCAGCACGTTGAAGGCCTCGCAGCATTGTGGTTCAGCCAACATCCTGGGTTGGACGCAATGCTCGAGGCTGTCAGGATACATAGAGAAGCTGTGCAAGACACTTGTCCGCCAGCTGCCATGTATACTGAGCTGAAATGGCTCCACTGGGACCAAGACTAATGCCTACCAGGTGGAAAATCCCTTTCGCGCCATGGACAAGGAGCAGGTGGGTCGGTGAATACGTCCGTCAAAATGCATTCAACTTATCGTCTTGCAACTCATGAGTTGCAAGACGATAAGTTGAGTGTCCGGAAAGCCACTTTACCCTGTAAAAAACAAGGTTTTTTGACCCTCGGTGCGTTGCGTCCGGGGCTAACCCCCCTCGTTTACCCAGCATGTTGCGCAGCCACATGGCATGTGGGCGCAAGGGAAAGCATGCTAAAAGTCAAGGGAACGCAAGACTCACTGACTCACTGACTCACTGGGCCGAAAAGCTCATCATTCTCCACAGTGAGCACAGCAGCATCGCATTCCCAGCCAATAGAAAGGACCTTTGCCAAATGCTTTACATCAGAGCCACGACGTTGGGCTTTCACCTCAGTCCAACCGGCTTTCTCAGCGAGTCGAAGGTGACATACACCAGTGATTGAATCGTTTGAAGCATTCACACCTGCGCGTGCCATTCCACACAATGTGCATTGGTGATGAGCACTCGCCGGTCAGTATCTATGCAAAAGCCGGATCCTGAAGGCACTTGCAACGACATAAGACTCTACCTTTATAGCGTATCACAAAGACAAAGCATGCAACAACCTCCTTACCACGTTGCTTTGCAAGTAAATCATACTCGTTTGAAGCTCGTCCTGTTGATCGCTCCTGCCGTCTTCTCCTCAGCATTTGTGAGGGCACGTCTAGCAGTCTAGCAAACCTGTGAAAATGGAGACTGGTGACATTGCAAAGCATTTCAACCGTTTTGTCTTGTCCTACATCTAAACATATCTAGACTCTGACTCTGACTATTGAATTTAGTCACTAAATTGTTTCACCACTGCAAATCTCAAAGCTTTTGCTTTAGTGCCCAACTCTCCCAATGCCGAGACTCTGCCAGGGCAAGGAGAAGTTTGGTATGCTGTGCGCACACCAAATCTGCGAACATCTGCTTGGGCACTTGGAGTGTACCACCACATTGTGCACAAGTTTGCCATGATTGCCATCACATTCAGTTGCTCAGCGGTAGTGTGCTCACAAGGTCAGTATGACTGAAACTCTCTTCTCCGGAACGAGGTCTCAATGTCTTTACGTCTTCTTTTTGCCTTACTTTCAAAAGGGAGCAAAAGAACAGCGTATTGCTAGAACCCTGTTCCTGGTGTTCCTAACTTGCTGTATACCAGCAGGCAAACCAAGCCGGAAACTGGTATTCTTTATGCTCATCTGCCAAGCTTGGTTGGCCCTCCTTCACCGCAACCGAATGAACCTTCCGGAAGCTTCCCATTTCGTAGCCTTCACAACTGCATCCAGCGGCACTCCCAAGGCAGAAAGGTCTTCATCCTCACCTGAGACCTGCCTGAGCTGCGAGCTGCATAGGTCACAAAAAAACCACGAGAAACCTCAAAATGGCCGGAGTCTCTAGGTCTCAAGTTGGTTGTCTCTTGCCACCTAGGATGTTGTAGGTCTTTCAACATCATTCTCCAAACCTTCTCCGATTCGGTATCTAAACGTGATCATCTTGTATCATCTTGCACTCCATCGTGTCAAGGCACCGATTAAGGCTTCCTTTGTTTTTCTTTTGCGGCATTGAGAACCAATGCGCACACTAAGCAGATTGTGGTAATGATCTTCACTGCTCACTATAGTTCGGGGTGTGTGTGGACTTGAGAAACTGAATATCGTTGTGAACTCGTGACTCGGTGACTCGGTTGCTCCAGTCACTCGGTGTTCGATGTCCCGACGCTTTCTTCCGATTGAATATTGTCAAATCAGCTTCTTGCTACTAGTAACTCTGAGTAACTAGTAGCGATGCACTTGTTACTTGTAGTGATGTATTGTCAAATCAATATCTTTGAGTTGGAAAGTCTGTGTGTGTGTGTTATTGGGGTTCGTGGTGTTTCACCTATCTCATGTCTTTACGATTGTTCGAGTATCGTGAAAGCATGTTGTAAAGGTGATGCTTGAAGACCCAACAGCAACGCAACTTGGCTAAAAGCCGATAATTGTTTTTGAGTTAAGTAGTGGCCAAATGTGGCCAACATCTTCCAAGGTCTGCAACAGTATCAAAATACAACAGGATAAATAAGTTGGTCAACATAATCCTGCTGCAAGCGATTCAGATCTTCTAACAAATCATGCCAATGACTTGCTTGGCCGATGCACACCGCTGATTCTTTGTCTCGCAGCTTGTCAAGCTGTGTCTTCGCTGGCCAGTGCCGGCGAGTGCACTTTGACTCCGAGGGAAATCTCATCCCTTGAATCCCAGGCAGCATGAGAGACTCTATTTATTCTTTGTCTGAACAATACTAAAGGGTGGGTGTCAAGACTCTGGCGCATGTAACTGCCTTCTACATAATCCTACAGTCCATATGACCTGTGAGGCTGACTCAGCAAGAATCAAGCGTGGGTGTCCATGTGTTTTCCATGTAATTTCAGTGTAGATCTGTCCGATCTCAGCCACGACGGCGAGACAACCGCCAGGCATTTGGCTGCTCAAAGCGATTGTAGAGGGGCCTGAGTGGTGTAAATGTTTGGTCAGCTGCTGTTCGACTACAAAATGTTAGGTGTTCAGGAACTCTGAACTCTGGTCTCGGTGCCGAAGTGGGAAACTAGCCTGAGTTCCTGGCTCAATGCGTTCCCGCATTTTCCTCAGTCGTAATCATGATAATGGATAACAGATATATAATAACTAATAGTGACGTGAAGGTCACAGCTGCTCTCGCGTGTTCTGCATAATTTTGAAGCTAAGCTTCCTCTTGGACAGCTTCGTGGGGTCTGCCCGCTGGAAGAGGTTTGGCGCCAACTCAGGCAACCACTGCGGCTCAATCTTGGCCGGTCAAGCACAGAACAGAAGGTGGCAGCTTTGCACTCGTCACGAGTCTTGAACAAAGCCATTCAAGTGGCAATGTGTCAAATCTCAAAGGACTGAAAGAAAATAATAGTTGCCTTTCCGTGAAATGCATACCTGCATACCGTACCCTCACGTGCCAAAATGATCAGCAACGCTTTGTAAAGGACAGGAAAGAGTCCTCCTGTGACGATATATCCCGCTTTCAATTACAAAATGTCCATTAATTTACAGCTTCCTGTTCAGCTGTTTCTGTAAAGGATCAAGTGTTTTAGGACTTGGACCCGCAGTGAATTGTGGCTCTGATTGAAAAACGCTCAGTCCAGAGCTGTGGAGCATTCTCGCAGGTATTCTTTGCTCGTCAGCACCTGGACAGGACTGCAAGTGTCATGACAATGACAAACAAGCATCCACGGAAGGATAGTTGCGCTGGAAAGTGCTCAATTGCTACGAAGCATGCACCAAGTTCAGCTGGATTGTATAATTGGCTCATCTCCCCACCATGGACCCATCCAACTAAGAATCCCGGCCAGCTCGTGGTAGACAATCCACTCAGGGTTGCGCTGATACAACGCAGAGGCTGGATGGATGTAGACCTTCAGTGGGCCATGCCGCTGGAATGAATATACATGGTAAACTTATGTCAAATTGCTCATGGTTTCTGTTCAGTGGATGATCGACTGATAGGGCAAGGTAAGGATTGGGTGCAACAAAAAAGATGGGGACCATGTTGGAATAAAATGGAAATAAGTTGATGAATCGGTTGCTGAATTCTGCACCAGCCAAACAAGCGCCTGGTTGTGATCCGTCAAGGTTCTGTACCCTTCCTGTGGATCTCTTCCTAGGCCGCAGGCAAGACCACCCTCAAGATCCAAGTAGCAACAGTCTGCGGTCTCATGGTAAGCTTCAGCCAAGCAGCTGCTGGCATTGCCAAAAAAGCCTGCAGTGATGCATCTCCTGCAAAGAAATCGTTGCAACCTTGAGTGTCTTGGAATCTTGAGAGCATCTTCGAGACATTCGCCTAATTCGGTTGTAGTCGTTGCCACATGACACCACCTCAAACTTGTAGCCTCAGAATCTCCAAAAGGACTGAAAGAAGAGGCAAAGAAAATTGGACAGCAGTCTGACACACCTAGAGACCTAGAGATATTATGAGACACCGTGACACCGTCAGCCAAGACAGTGGCAATCTGGAAGCTGAGACATGAAGGCTTTTGGGCCAAGTGACGGTCCATCAGGGTGATCAGCTGCCTTCTAACATCCTGCAAAGAGTCGAAAGCTCCGTTCGTAGCGTCCTTGTTCCTAGTAGTAAGAATGCTCCTAGTAGCGATGCCAGGAGCCATTAATAGCGTCCTTGTTACTAGTGGCGATGCCCTTGTTCCTAGTAGCGAACCTTGTTCCTAGTAGTATGGCCAGGAGCCCGTAGTAGCGTCCTTGCTCCTAGTAGCGATGTCCTTTGCTCCTAGTAGCGTCCTCTACCCCTCCCCAGGCTGGCAACGTTGCCAAATTCAGCCCACCCTCCGACTCTGTAGTGATTCCGAGACGAGAAGAAACAGGTGGTGCACGTCCTGAGAGCGCCGCAAAGCGCGGGCCTGACAATCGAAGCAAACTGTTGAAGGAAGCTCAAGAAATCGGATCGATGTCGACATGCCTGGATGAAGTTCTCGTAACACCATGGATTGGAAAAGCGGTTATGAGCCTCAGAACCCCGCGATTGTTATAGAATCATTCCTTTGCTTTGACCAGAGTTCAATTTCTTTTCCCTCCAACTGTCCAACTCTGAGTATGGCACCCAGGTCTTGTAGACTTCAAGCAGGGTGCAGTGATCGCCTCCAATCAGAGTTAAATATTCAATACACCCAAACAAGCACGTGTCTGAACACCTCTCCAAGCCCCTCGCCCCCGGTCTTCACAGCCTATCCTCCCCTTTGTTTGAAGAGGTGTTTGAAGGTAGTTGAAAGACATGAGGATGTGTCTATGCATCTGTCTACCCCATTTGTCAGCTAGCGGCGTGCCTTCCGGTTGGTGGAACTTGGACTTCTTCTGGTCCGCCAAAGCCTCCGAATGTCAGGAATTTTACGGCCTAGCAAAAATGCGCCCAGACTGCAAACAGCAGCAAAGGGCAGCATTCCTTATCAAAGTGTTGATTTTGCGTGCCCGTGCCTGTTTGTCTTTTGGTCGGTAGAAAACGTTCTGGACCGAAAGCCTGGCACTTTCGGGGTGTTCAATTCACAGTTCACGTGTTCATGGGAACATAAGGGCGGCACATGGCGACAATGGTCATGATCTCATCACTGCACCTCGATGGTCACCGTGATTGTTTGTTTTCCCAGACGCATCAGTCATGTCATTCTCATCTCAGTGGTCTGTGACACCCTTCGAGACATGCACCTCAAATCCACAGATGTCAGCAGCATCTTGGAGAGGGCAGGCTCCATGGGGAACCTAAACAGGTAGCTTTCGCGAACTTTCGCAATGCCGTTTCTGTTTCTGTAATCAGCGAAAGTGTTGGCTGCTTCTTTGATTGCCTGCTATGCTAGGTTATGAATATATATATATATAGTTATATATATAGGTTGGTTCTAGAAGCATGGGTTGCAAAAAATCAAAAAATAAAGTGTCTGGGAAACCGGCTCGGCCATCTTACGGCCCAAATCTGTCAGCATTCCTTCATCATCCAAGGATCCCAGGGTCCTCAGGACACCCCGCTTTAACAGCCTCATCTTTGCTTCTCAAGCCTGGTGTCATTATACAGAAAACAGTTTGAGGCATGTGCCAAAGCGACTCGAGAGCGTTGATCATGGTCTCGACAGGCCTTTGAAGGATGGTAGTTGGGTCGACCAATGGCATCAAGAATGTACTATCTATCCTCACAATGTGTGCTCCCTGCAAGAATTCCACTTGAAAGTCTCAAGCGATTTGAGCTGCCAATCATCAATGTCCAAAAGACTTAAGTTCGAACGGTAAGTGTCCCTAAACAATTTGGAACCAAATGATCAGTCCAAGCGCTGTCCTGTGTCCTAGCTAGGAGCGTCCAGTACCTCTTCCAGTGGCCCCCCCCCTCGGGCTTAAAAAAAATAGAAACAAAAGAAAAATAAATTCTATATATAGCTTGGGGCTCCTCACGGCGAGTCCATGAAATCAAAGCTCAGCATATCTTGGATTCCCATGGCCTGACAAGGCTTTATACAAGGGAGGCTTACACACGCTAGACAAATGCTGAATCGCACAGTCATCTCTTGATCAGCACTTTGGGGATCCAAAGTCAACGTGTAAAATGGAATTCAAGTGGATTCGGCCAATTGGCTACAGTAACCCAATTGGTGAGCCCCTTACTCGCCCTAGCCATGCACCTTGAGGAGCAGCACTGTGTTGGAAAGGTTGGTCCGCTGAATTTCTGGGACTGCCTTGGTACCAGGTCGAGGGCTTTGCCGTACCCAAATCTGCCCTTCCCTCACGAACAAAAACAGTCAACATTGCCCCTGTTGCCAACTTATTTGAGTGTTCAAGGACGAATATACGATATCATGATACATCCTGCATGATACTGCTGGGACAAGACAAATCTGTGAAAGCATCTGTGCATCAGGCCGTTGGCAGCATCTCATTGCGATAGGCCAGTTCCGTGTATAGACCTCAGGATCCATTGCCTGTCTTGCAGTACAGGAGAAACAATGTGAGAACAATAGAATAGAATAGTGGCATACCGACCTGATGACGAGCAAGCTCAAACTCGAGACTGCGGTTTAGAACTGCAAAGGTCCAGCCCTCACTAATCAGTTCAACATGTAAAGGTCTAAAGGTCAAGCATCATGACATGCACTCGAAGCCTGTGACCACAACTCTGCAAAAGAGATTTGAGTCTTGAACGATAGCACTTGCCCGGCCCTGTTCGCCCAGCACGACCGGAGCGCTGCCGGGCATTCGCCTGGCTGTATAATGTCAGCTTGTCAGCTGTCGAGTTAAATCCTGCTTCACATTGTCCGAAAAATCCTATCCTTCATGCCCTCTCGCCATGAATCCTGTGCCTGACTGACAGGTGTGATGAGCAGGGAGTCCATGCCTCGCAATGGCTCGGCCCTATATGGCCCTGTTATGTCCGGAGCAATCCGACACAAACAGCTCAGTGCTGTAGGTGGCACCTGCCTGTCTTGGAGTTGTACATTTTGACCTCCCATCGGGAAAAGCAACATGAGTCGCAAAATGAGCATCAAACATGAGCCCAAGCTCGGCTTCAAACAATGCTTATACATTGGTGACTGATTTGTATGGCATATAAATCATGTCAAGTCAGCAAAAAGGAGCTTATCATGCGCAAATGACGATCCAACTGACGAAACACAAATTGCCTTGGCCATCCCAGGGTCCACCACAAAGAAGATCCCATCAATGGTCAAGGAGGCCTGGCCAGCGTCCCAAATGCTTCATTTTGTGTGATAAGATGTGCAAAGCTTGTCCAGAATGTGTATAATTACACTAAGTTATTGAACGCCTCAGATCCAAGGTCGATTCACCTACCAAAGGTGTCCTTTGTTCTTTTCTAGAAACCATCCAAAAAAGAATCGGACAACACCTCCGCAATGTTCGTGGCCACAATGCATTTCCGACAGCCCGGCGGTGGAGGCCTCAGGACCGGAGAAATCGTAAGGAACCATGAAACTTCTCTTGAGAAACCGCTGGAAAAATGCTGGAATCACTTGCGTGTCGCACTCGAAAATCATCGTCTGCATCTCAGAAGGCAAAGCACTGTACACCTCAGCTGTGGTTCTTCACATTCCCAACCCGCAACTTAGGCATTTAGTGATATGACCAAAGGACATGTCTGCCTTTGAAGTAGCACCCAATAAGGACAAACTTAAAATCTCTTAAACTGCTGCTAACATCTGGTAACTGACTGTGTTGAATGAGCATGATGGTAGTATCCGCACTCATGTTCATAGATTGTACATGAATCTTTCAACCAAGGCTTGGGCAGGAAGGATAATCAGCGGTGGCGGGCTCATTGCTTCAAGCTTCTGCATTCGTTCATGCAGAACTTGGCCTCGACCATCCAACGGTGCTTATATAAGTGGCTCTTGACGTATGTTGCATATCGTGTGATGCAAAGTCAACGTTTAGGCAAACAAAGCTGAACCCTTCAACATGTTTGAGTCTACTTTGCACCCAATCACCTTGGAAGCTGCAAACAAACTAACACCCTTTGTGAGCCGTTTCTGGGGCAGCCGCAGGCCGTATCAATCTCCTCCTGACCTGTGAGGAAGACCAAAATGTCCCCGGACGGCTCAGTCAAATGGATCCTTAGGGATGCGTGGCTTCTCCCTTGCAAATACGCTACCAAATCTTTGTCGCATGACTCCCATTGAAACACATGAAGATTTGCAACCTCCACACACTACTTCCTGGTACAACCAACTTCTTGGGGGTCTGGCTGCAGCACCGTCATGAGGGCAGCTTCCACATAGTCCTGCTCCGGATCCTGCACATGGAATGCTGCTCAGAACGAGCTGTGGGGCCGTGGAGGGAACATGCTCTCAGGATCGCTCAGGCAACTCCCAAATGTGCAGAGGTCGCCTTTGTGGGACTCTCTGAGCTGAAAGCCAAACCTTCACCAACAAACTCCTTCGATAAACAAATATGTCTTTAGGTTCTTCATGCTGAAAGAAACTGTGAAAGGCGTAGCCCTTGATCTTTGCCTTGTGTGTGTGTGTCATCAAGTCAACCCTAGAAGGAGCCACAGCATTATCACTCTACGCTTGGGTTTGGAATATCACTAGCTCTGTACTAGTACATGCAATGACTCCGTCACAAACCTTCATCAAGGCGTGTACAGTTAGTCTGGCTAGAAGCATTGACGATGCATGGAAAGGGTCAGAAAGCATGTTTCGGACGATTGATGAAACAGTCGGCAGAAAGACTCAAGCCAGCAGTGTCTTCCATTGATGATGAAAACTGAGCTGACATTTCCTAGCAGCTTGATTCAGAACGTCCTTGGAGTAGAGGATTTCCACTGGAAAGGTCCTTGCACAGTGATTAATCTTGAAAGCCAGGATATAAGTATCAGTACAAGTGCCACCCACCATTGCCTGCCAGGAATAGTGAAAATGTGGGAGTTGAAAAAGTAGCCTGGCACGGGTGGATTGAGCCAGAGACACATATCCAGCCTTGCCAAATCTGCAGATCTAAGGTCCGAAGAAAATGAGCAAGCATGGCTGGAGAATTTCTCCGCGTCCAGCGTCGCCTACAGTAGAGAGTACAGTACATAATGTCAATTACCATCACCTTCCAACTTCAGCTGTCTAACCTCTGAGTTTGGGGCAGAAGTGACTATGAGTTTGAGTTCAGGTCTTTTCCTCAGTCGTCCACTCAATTTTCTATCAACTACTAGGGCCTGGGCACAGTATCAGGAAACAATTAAGAGGTTTTACCCGCTGGACAAAGGCCAGTAAGTCGTGATCAAGCCATGAGAAACCTGCAGATCTGCTGAGAGGGCCCAGCTTGACTGCAGCCTTCAGCAACCCAAAGAGAACATCTGTGGAGATGGTCCTATAGGAACAGGAGAACATAATTCCTTTCGGCCAAAAGCAACTCCTGGAAGGTGTTGGAGAGTTTGCACAAAAGGCAAGCACCATGAGGGTCCTCTCATGAGCTTCATCCAGCATGACCACGGAATATTTGCTGACCTGCCGGGCTGGAGTGAAGCATCAAGAGGTTGATTGTTTAAGCATTAAACTCCCGCATATCAGGGCCTGGTCATCTGACAGGATCTCACGCAAAAGCATACCGTCAGTCATGTACTTGATGAGAGTGTCCGGCCCAGTCTGATCCTGCAAAGTAGGCATGGCACAAGTCTTCCAGCGGCGTTTCGTCTTCGTAGGCCTCATGCCATATACCTCTTTTTGCCTAGTTTATAAACAAGAGAGACCGCAGGCTCCTCAAATCGGATTGCGTAGCCAACCTCTTGACCTGGTGGCAAACTACACAAGTGACACACGTCGATTAACAACTTCGTGGAATGTATAACCCCAAGAAATTAGACGGACACTTAGTAAGTGTTTTCCTTACTAGGGCCCACTACAGTGCACTACAGGGGCTGTGCACTTCAGGACAAATGGCATGATGAACTGCAGGTCCGCAGGTGCATGGTATCGTCCTCTTGCATACATAAACACATTAATTATTGATGCCAACATATGTAAATATTAATACAATATATAATGCCAACATATCCAGTATACGCACATTAGACATACACACAATCTGATATATTATCGACACCTGGGTTCCCAACCTAAGCGGCAACCGTACTCTTCCGACACACGTTTCGCCACGGACATTGCCTGGCCAAAAGTTGCACTCACCGCAGCAAACAATGTATTGCTGTATAAGGTGCGTCGCAAAGGAGACCAAGAATGATAACAAAGGACGAAAACCAAAACAAAAACAGGTTTGATTTGTAGTTAATTCCTGCACACACCACTCACAAGTCACAGCCCGAAAAACGTATGTTGAGTTTATCCTATTACCAGTAACAGTGGATGATGATGGTTAGTAAAGACCTTGTTCAAAAATAGTGATAGTTGTTTACTCACTGTTACAAGTAGAAGGACAGACCCAAAAAAAAATATATATACATACATACCTGAGAAGTGAAGGGACGAAAGCCAGCCCGAGAGCGATGTGCAACACTCCCACACAGAGCCCCTGAGAATGCCCACTTCGCTCGCAAGATAAATTAAAAGGCTCGAAAATGCATCTGCCGCACCCTGCTTTGTCCAATGTCCTATCGCTAAAGCCCGCTTTTCGGAGGTGCCCTCCTTTGTGCCGAGACGGCAGGCAGCAACAAAAACTCATCCTTGGTGTCTTTTCTGGGGGAACTTGGTGCTAGAACAACTTTTCTAGAGGGGGCCTTCTTTGCTGCGGGGTGGCCCTCAAACAAAGCAGAAACGGGCACCAAACCAGAAAATGTTCAATGTGCTTCTTCGGCTCTTTGATCTGTATAGCATACTGTCTTTCCATACCTGCATCGACAATTCATCTCAAGCAGCGGCTCGCAAGATTCAATTGAAGTGCTCGAAGGTGCATCTGCATGCATCTGCCATGTCCTGTGTTATGAAGGGTCTTATCGCCAGATCCCGCTCTTTAGACGTGCCCTGCTTTGCCCCGAGACGACCGTCAAGGAAGCCGCAACAGGGCACCACAAGACTCCTCCTCAAGGCCGTTTCTGCGGGAACTTGGTGCTACCCACTTACTCAGAGGTGCCCTGCTTTTGCCCTGAGACGGCCCTCAAGCACAACGCAAAAGGGCACCAACTCACAATTACAGCTGCAAAGCTTTTCTTTGGCTCTCTGCGTCTAGACCTCTGTAAGTCACACCATCTTTCAAATCACGCATGGCTGGACTTCACAGACGGCTTGACTCCACGAACTAAAGCGAAAAATACTGTAAATCACAATATGTTGCCATACTGGACCAGGAGCCGACAAATTTGCCAAAGCACCCCAAAAGGCGCCGTCATGCCCAGTTGATAATGCGTCATGCCCAGTTCATGATGATCCAAAAAAATGCTCTTATCAACCGCTGCGGCATCACTCGCATGACAAAGAGCCCTCATATAGCGACATGTATATATAGCGACATGTTGTCCACCCATTCTTTTTCGCTCGGCTCTGGGTTCACTCTGCCGTTCGCCTAAACAGAGCCTAGCCTATCCCATCGGCTGGCTTTCGTAATATTTATAGAAACAAGCTTTCGATTATTCACCCACGTGAGTTGTTGTACGGAGTTCACTTTCCGAACAAGGCCAGCAGCACAGCCACGCGTCGAGGCTGGGTGCAACCAATCACTCCCCGAGACGTGTAGCCAGCCTGTCAAGCCAGCAACCGTTTCGTTGCAAGTTGAATTCCATCAACGTTGAGCGATGGTCTTCGATTATCGCAGTCTCGGCAAAATTCCTTTGATGAAGTCACACCAAGCTGGCTACAGGTCCAGCAACTACAGTAACTCAACCGGCCACATGATCACTCTGAGTGCGCTTCTAGCCTCCGCCAAGTACTGAGTGATTTGCGTGGTCTTTCCACTGCCCGTCTCACCAATCACGATGAGAACCTGACGCAAGTAAGGGCTGCAATGACTTTAGCGACAACTTTTGCGCCGACCTGTCACATCTCAGGTTTGAATCCAGGCACCTGATTGTCGTGAATAGCCTGAAGCAGCTCATTCCGCAGCTTGAAGATTGGAAGTCCCTGACAGGGAAATCCAAATGAAACGGGAGGTTTCCAACCTGGACCAATTGCTCTAGCATGTACTTGACAAAATCTAGAAGATCTGGAACCGCAAAACAACAACAATAAGAACAATAGTTTCTCGTGACTCATGATCATTTGCCTCACGCTGTTCTTTGATCGGCTTAACCGACTTCTGCCCATAGGACACGGATTTGCCGATGTACAGCCTGCGGTTGACGCTCTCACTCTCAGAGTCTTCTTCATGTCAATTCCATCACACTCTTTCCAAAACTTCACGTCTTTTGTTTCGACACAATCCATAAGTTTCCCACTTCTTCCATTCAGGCAGCTCGTAGGATGTCTGTCCAAGGCCTCGATAGGATGTCCAACCCTTGGCCCATCTCTCATATCCCTAATATCCCCTTAATAGCTCGCCTAATTATATTGATGATGCACTAAAGTTCAATACGTACAGTGAAACAGTGAAATGTTGAGATCCCTTTGGAAATCTGAGAAAAGAAAAGGTCCAAAGTCGTTCCTTCTCTTTTTGTGGCGATGCCGCCCTCAATGCGCGCCTCTCAAGGCTTGCGCGATGGTTCGCTCACCTGGTTCAGGCTTTGGATCCTGGGCAGCACGCAAAGTGGAATGAAGCCCAAATGGGCTCATGCTAGGGCGGCAAGTTGTCAAAGGCACTTTCCATTTCACATGTGCACATATCAACTCCAAAGGACTGGTCACATTGTCATAAGAAGATGTCAAATGCTCTTTTTAAAGGTATCCTGAAAGCTTGGAAGAGCTTGACAGAACTAAAACATACTAAAACAAAAGAACCATCTCTCCCCAGCCATCTGATCTTGCATCTTTGCATGCGTTTCTCAAACTCGAAGAGCGGTTGCTGCGCCAAACTGGTCCTCCCATGGTCTGCCCATATCTTTCGGGATCGCATCCAGAAGGCTCTGCCTGGGCCGAACCCCGAGTTGTCGTATGCCAAGGTCCCAAGACTCGATGGTTCTTCACAGGTTGGGTTGTTCGTATGGCTTGAACCCCAATTGGAGGGTACCCAAAAGAGTGCATGATGTATTGGCCAAATAAACATCCTTCTAGAAACCAATCTAATGACCCTTGAATTCTGTATCCATAATGAATGCAGCATGACGAGGTACTATGTTCGCCCCAAATGCTGTGCGGCACTCTGGCGTTTATGGAATGTGTGGGGCTCACAGAAACTCACAAAAGTAAAAGAGAAATCGTTTCCAACAGAAACCTAAAGCGTCCTTGCTCCTACTAGCGATGCCAGGAGCCCGCATGTGAAATTGAAACTCTTAGTGTTACTGTAGAGCTCATCAAGCTCTCCACTGGCTCATGCTTTCTGAGTTCCTGGCTGCATCGCCTCTCGGGCCTCTCTCCGCTCCGTGGCCAAAGCTTGTGCCCTCGGTCCCAGGACGAAAGATGGTCACCGATGTTTCGCGTTGGTCGCCCAAGTAGACACAAGTGTCACAAGTAGACACTATCCCCAAATCCCCAAGCCCCCTCAAGGGTCAGTGATCTTTTGTCTGCTTCGGACCGCCACACGGTTGGCGGATGGGCTGAGAAGAAGGTAACCCTTTCTCCAGGCTGCCTTCATTGCTTTACAAAGGCCTTTGGATATGGTTGAATGTCTGTAAGAAGAAAAAAAACAACACACACATAGCTTACATGGTTACCTACAATGTATATTGCAAGCTACAACAGGTGCTGCAAGCTGCTCTTGTGATACATGCACATGCGTCATGATCAATTTCAAAGTCGATCTGCTCCTGTGCAACCCTGACGTGGAGGCAGCACGTGCTAAGCTGCCATCAGGCTCCTTGACAACCTCAACAGGCAGTGATTGAAAGGTTTGGACCTCCGATCGCCGTTGTCCTATGCCGTTCTTTGGTCCTTTCTAAATCAACGGTGCCCAAAAACTAAACTTGAACATGTGTCTGCTTGCTATTCTGTTTACCCCCATCTAAGTGGCATAGCGGCATAACATCAAAAAGACATAGGAAGACATTAGAGGCAAACCCTGCCTGGATGGGTGACAACCTCACCCCGGCTTTGGTGGTTTGGCCTCGTAGGAAGACTGGCTCCTGGAAAGTGCAAACAGTCCAGCTGACTGAACAGCGGCACGAGAAGTTGCTTCACAAACATTCGTGGGCAAACTACGGTTCGGCAACTGTACGTCCGAAACTGTTGAAAATGCTAGAAAAATCGATGGAAACTTGCCGAAGCTTCAGAAACCATGAAAGCTGCCGCAGCCACAAGGCTCGGCTAAATGTTGCCTGACCAACCCGAAGGGGAGCAGCGCGCTGACAACATCAACTCGCAGAAAGCTCAACACTGAAAGGCATCACGTAGGTGACCAAATGGAGCGTAATCATCCCCCTATCAGAACTTCGGTCAAGTCCGATTCTTCCGGCTGCTTCTTAATCGATATCCGCAACTACTGCACAGGGACCTCATGTCCCTGCATTTCAATCCCTGCAACTGGAGGGCTTCCAACTCGACAAAAAAAGGTTCTAAGTTCCCCTTCGGTTATTCACCTGGTACACTTAAACAAATAGACTAAATAGTTTCCCGCCAGGCAAAACATAGTAAAACCCTTGCAGACTTTCACATCCAAAAGGAACATAGCTGCATCGCCCGCACCCACCTTTTGGCGCTTGGTCGGGGACAACGTCATTCATACAAGCCCTATGAAAATCGCCTATGGGGATCAGAACAGCGATCTCTTGGTTTCAATGGCGTTGGCCCATCTGCTCCCGCCAAACTATCCCTCAACCGGGTGTGGCTGGATGAGGTGTGGGTCTGGGATGAGGTGTGGACTGGTTTGCATGTTTTGGTGGACCCTGTGGACCACTTGTTCATGCCTAGTGGGTCTAAAACTCGACCCAGACCCAAACTACTATTACTACTGTAGAAAAAAGAAAAGTCTAAAGGAGCACCTATCCAAGACCCCCAGTGGTGTCTTGGAATCATGCGTGAGGTGCAAAATAAAGTTAGGAAAACGATCTGGCTTCTGTAAAATACTGGCAAAGCCTGCAAAGCGAGAACTGATCAAACTCTCCTTCTCTTGGAGCTCAATCTCGTAGTCCTCCTCGATGTCACTGTCCGCCAAAAGCCCTTTCTCCTTCCAAGCCGAGGGCAATGCTGTGGTTGGGAAGGAGTGACTAGGAGTTGAACAAGGAGTTGAAGAACTGCATTGACCAGAGCATTGCTGCTGAACCAGTCAAACTATCAATTTGAGCATTGTCAAAGAGCCAGAGTCCTCGTCACAATCGAGGCGCTCATGCTGCTCAATCACACCGGAGGCTTGCAACTGCTGCGCCTGGGGGTGCCAGTCTTAGGGAAAAAAGAACACTCGACTCACTAGACCAATCTCAAACGGGCATCTTCTAGAGCAGTTTTTGTTAAAGCCCGGGGGGGATAGGCCGCTAGTAGAGGTTAGCTAGGGAGTCGGTAGCTAGTAGGGAGAGGTAGCTAGAGCTAACAAGTAGCTACTAGTATTGACGCAGGATACCACGCTAATGATTTGGTTTCTGGATGTTTAGGGGAACTTAACATTAGAAGTGCCCGTCCACCTTAACTTCAGAGCCGCTATAGGACATGTCGAAGGTCAACAGGTCGACGCTTGACGCTCAAATGGGCTGACAAACAGAATGATGATATGCCAGAGCGCGGAATGTCTCGGATCATGAACGCTACCTCCCACATCTCGTACTCATTGAGCTTCTTCTTCTGTCGAAGTTTTTTCCTGTGAAGTTGGCAAAGTGCCAGGTGGTTCAACAAACAAAACATATTGATCTCGAGGAAAGAAGGCAACAAACAACAAAACAGGACTTGATAATTAATGTCAATATAGCAAATCAAAGAATGAGTTGCCATTATAGATCATTGAGTGAAATACCTTCAATCTTGGAACACGGGACGGAAGCAAGTGTGCTTGCACAGGGGCATGTTTCGCGGCCTCTCTGTCTCATTGTCGGCGTAGTCCAGCCTAATGCCAGTGACCTGTTTCCGACTTGCAAACCAACGAGCTGAGCGGACAGCGCTCGACCCCAAAAAGAACCAAAAGGGGCCCAGTCTGCCTTGCCGTACTTGGCATTGTCCTTCCGCACATCATGGCTTGAAAATTCGTCTGTACCGTCAAGCAAAATATCCAGCTTGCAGTCTGAAACGGATTACATTACGGAGCGACTGCGTCCTCCATCCGCCTCTTTCTCATAGGGTTGGAGACATCCAATTCGTCGGCTGGCGCAAAGCACCAACAGTTACTGAAACCGTGTGTGCGGTGAGACTTTGCAGGCGCAGCAAGACTTTGACATGCCTGACAATTAAGTCCGTTTAGTCTCATTCATTGATCTAGGAATCTGAGAGCGAGACGTTCCTCGGCACCTCTCAGCTTCCGCACCTTCAAGTCCTGGCAGGAAAAGCAAAGCAGCCTCATGTTATATATATATATATATGTGTGTGTAGGATCTTTTATTGCTGAAAGCATCATCGAAGCACCTTGTATTCTTTTGAGCCCCGAATGATGAATCCCCTCTTGCAAACATCTACCTTTCTCCCCAGAAAAAATGCATGAAAATTGCACAATCAAAATATAGCATGGAGAAAGACATCCGGGATTAGAATGGAAGACGTGCTTGGCCTCCCCCGTCTCTTGATCCACTTCGCGGAGAGAGATGTTGAGCTTGGACCCGGCGATACCTGTCACACCGGAACGGGTCTTCATCCTTTTGGTCCGTTGACACTCTGCATGTCATGACCTCTGTTACTAGTAGCGTCCGATCGCTCCTAGTAGTAAGGCCAGGAGCCCCTAGTAGCTTCTTGTTACTAGTAGCGATGCCAGGAGCCCCTAGTAGCGTCCTTGCTCCTGTGTCAATCATAGTTTGCTGAAGAGCTTCATCTTCAAACACAGAAGCTGAGCCTATGATTTTCACGAAGCAATCTTGATTCCTGGAGCAAAGCTATGAGCGCGACACTGAATTGAGTCACCAAAATTCATCCAAAGTTCACTGGCGACACGAAATTATGTGCCTTTTCAAATGGTCAGCTGCTCGGTTCACATTTCGCGTCTCCTGCCAGTCAAAGCCCAGTGTCCCAAGGTAACTCGAGCTTGGAGGATTTGGTAAAACCTGAAAAAATGTTATGGCATGTTCAACTTCAACTGTAGAATTCTGGTAGCAAGGACACTATTATGTGGAGGCCATCGCCAGGAGGTTGGAGGCCATCACTACTAGCAACAAGAAGCTCCTAGGAGCAAGAAGCTACTAGGGGCCTGGCCTTACTACTAGGAGCAAGGACGCTACTAGGGGCTCCTGGCATCGCTACTAGAAGCATTCTTACTACTAGCAACAAGAAGTTACCAGGAACAAAGAATCCACCAAGACATCAGTCCCGAGAGAGCTCGCTCAAGTGAGCCAATCCTTCTCTTCGTCCTGCCACAGGACAAGTCTTGAAGCCTCTCCCCATAAGATGTTAGGAATCTGGGATCAACCTCTATCAATCAACCTCTTCATGGTCAATGTTGACTTCAATGCTAGAGAATGGTCATGGTATGTCATGGTAGTCGAGGGTGAGTGCAGTGATGCAAGCCACCGACTCAACATCCATCTTAATCCATGGCTCCATGTTGCCATTCACTCCTTTTCTGCTAGACCTATTAGGTTGGAGGCCATCGCTACTAGGTTGGAGGCCATCGCTACTAGGTTGGAGGCCATCGCTAGTAGAAACACAGAAGAAAGAAAAGGAAGAAAGGTTCAATCTCTATAGCTACTTCTCCTTTCATGCGTCTCCTGCCTTCGGAGGTCTCGAAGGAGATGAAGGCTCCATACTCCATGAGCCGCGAAACCTCCACACGAAACCCCGCGAATTCTGCGGCTCAAAAGGTAAAGAAAGAGACTAGATGCAAAACAAAATAGACTGAACTGTGTCTCCAAATCTGTCTCCCTGGCATTGGAGCCTGGCCCTTGTAGATGCCATAAAGCTCTACCTTAGATCACAGCTCAAATTTGTCTGTGCTGAATCAAGCGGAATCGGCTTCAGAATACTGCCCCACAAGAATGTCGAACCAAGAGCTGTATTTATCTTCTAGATTTGCACCATACACTTTGCGGTCAAGTGACAGGTCCTCGCAGCTCTTTCTTTTTTTCCTTGGTCTCTTTGTCCTGACCAAAACATCAAGTCTTAATGATGACAGGCTGAAGTTGGCATTACTAGTAGCTTCTTGCTACTTCACCACCAATTTGTCACAAATTGGACCTTGTGTTCACCACGACTTCGGCTTCTTTCTCGCCTGTCACAGAAACTCAAGACACCCGTGCAAGCGCAGGTGCCTCTGCTTTCGGAGTCAAACAACAAAAGCATTCCTTCGCGTCACAGAATTTAAACTCCGTGTGTGATGGGGTGGTCATATCCTGCCAAGGTCTGCGATCTGAAATTGAAGTCAATATTCGAGACTACTGCATCTGAGTGGTAGCACATTTTGTTGAGCTGTTGAATACAGTAGTAGTACCTTCGTTTTGTGGGCGTTTCATTTTTCTGATCTGTCAGTTTCTCCTGTCGATCATCATCATCATCATCATCATCATCATCATCAAGTGCAAATTGAACACTAGTTCGCTTCCACGAGCCTATCGATTTTTGGATCTCTGGCAATCTCCTGACGGCCACACAATGATCGTGAACTTACAGCAACAGCCGAGCTCCAGAAAAACGATTCGGTGCTCTCAGTATGGGCTAAATAAATCTAAATAAATCTGAATCTACATTTTAAAGAAAGCGGTCTTTGGTGTCCCACCCGTCCCTCCTTGTTTGCCAATGCCAAGGCTTCATTCGAAGCCTTTGCGTTCGGTCCACCTGAGAACAGTAAGATGTCCATGTGTCATTATCTCCTCTCCAGCACACATGGGGACAATCTTTGCATACACAGTAGCACCATGATGCACTATGTGGCATTGCTATGTTTCGCTCCACGAACTACGAATGCCTTGATCAAAGTTGGAGAAACAACAGTACAACACATCGGATTGAAAGTATCCGCCGCAAAGAATACCAGGGCATCGCTACTGGTAACAATGGCATTACTACTAGTAGCATCTAGTAGCTAGAAGCTACTAGTAACAAGGGCATCGCTACTAGGAGCAAGGACGCTACTAGGGGCTCCTGGCCTTACTACAGTACTAGTAACAAGAAGCTACTAGGGGCTCCTGGCATCGCCCTTGAACATGTGGAGAACTTCTGAGCCTTCGGACCTTTGGCATCCGCCTGACCAGGCTTCTTCGGCCCGCCCAGCTTTTGGATGAGCCTTGGACTAGGTTCCCATCGGCCCGCATGCTCTTATGAACCCGTAGAGACATACACATGACAATCATCGTACACTGCAAGGCATTCTCCGCCCCTTTGGCTGGTCGATTTCTGGCACTCTGTTCATTGCCTTGCCCTTTTTCCAAGGTGCTCTAGCAGCCTCTGGCAGAAAGCTGCAGAAGCCGCTGCTCCATTCTCCTGCCATGAAGCCGCTTGTTCACAAAAAGGAGCGATCTGGGGGTTCTTGAAGGATCTTGAAGGTGCTCTGCTTCGGAATTGTCTGCTGATTCAGTTGTTAGCCCTTGCATCGTTCAATTGTGCCCCACCTGAAGCTTGGCCTCAAACTCATCCACCCCAGAGCTAGACTCTCCGAGTTCGATCACGAACTCTGCGAGCCTGGCAGGGTTGAGAGCGCTTCATAAGTGTGAAAGAACAATGAAGTGATTGGTAGATAAGACCGAGACATGAAAAGGATCATGATGTATACATATGGACATGATGAACTGCTTGGTGCAAAAGGTCTGGAAGTAGGATGAAGTAGGTGTGGAACAATTCTTTTAGATTGAGAAATTGGTGGTCGTCCAAATGAAGAAGCCTCTGAGGCCAAACCCTATCCAGCTTGTCTCGAGACATACTTAGCAACCCCTAGGACCTGGTGTGCAAATGCCAAGAAAAAATTGCCTTTCAACGTGAGATCATCCATCCAAACTTGCAACAGGTGTCTGCTAAAGCTGCCGAAGTTGCGTCTTGTCTTCTATGCCCCAGTGATTCCTGAGGCTAAGTAACTGCCAAGCAGCGGATCTGATCTTCAAAAAAACATTGATCGAACATTGATCGAATTGAAACTGAATCATCACTTATCTCATCGGAGCAGTCTCTGGAACCTCTTGGCTCCTAGCTGGATCTCAATGGTCACCTTCGAGACCAAACTAAGTCTTCGCAATGCCTAGCAGGTGTTGGACTTGCCTCCTAACTGCTGCCTAGTATGACCTCCACAAACACTTCTCCAAAGAGAGACTCTGCTCTAAATCTATGTGTGTTCTCTTCATGTGTCCTTTTCTGCAAACTTACTCGTTCATCGCAAGTCAGTCGAAAGGAAGAGGTTGAGACTGAGACCGTTCAAAATGTTCAAATTGGCGGCAGAGACATGCATAGTGCAAAAGATTCTCAAGCAAGATTCGTCAATCCGGCCTCCATAGCTTTTGGGCAGCCTACGCATCCAAAGTGCCCTTCTGCGAACCAAACTAGTGTCTGGGGTCCGTTCCCGTCTGAATTGCTTGCACCATATGGTCCCAAGTCAGCCCAAGACCACTACGCTCGTGAAAAGTCGAACGGTGTGCAATTCGTCTCATGTACAGTTTGCCAGATCAAAGTGCAGCACAGCTGGCCTGTGCCTCTAGCGGAAGGCTGCCCAGCTATGTTGTCTTGTGAGCCATTGCTTGAGCTGCTAGGAAAGCTGCAGATTTATTCTGTGGTGCAATGGAAGAGAAACCCATGCATCACAACAGCATAACCTTTCCGATTGGGGCATGATGCCAGAGAGAACCGCTGGCAAGTGTTTGTTGGGAGGCTAACGAGACCAGAAGCAAAAGAAACCTGATCCTTGCTTCCCTGTCAAACCGATCCAGAGCTGCGAAAACGCCCTCTTGACAGCAAACCATCGTGGCTTACATTCGCTGAAAAAGCTGAGCCTACCATCGCACAGCAGTAAGGAGCCAATCAAAAAGGTACCAAAAGCATGACACCATTGGCTTGCTTTTTAGTGCTTTTTGGTAGAGTGACTTCTCCAGTGAATTGGCTCCAGTGACCTGGGTGCTTCACCCGAAACCTGAATTACAGACACTACAGGTCGGGGTTTCTGGCAAAACAGAGGCTTGCTGATTTGGCCTATAGACATGTGTAGTTTTCTGAATTTGTGCGTGTCATTCATTGTTCTTTGTGCTTTCTATTTTCTTGATACGATGATAGACAGGCACTTAATGATATAGTGCTTCTTACTGTTGCACAAGACACCAGACATTCGCGTGCCTCTGTTTGCGTCGAATTGCTATGAATACAATTCTTGGCGGATGAGCCAAGTAGGGTTGCGCCGCTGTAAACGGCTGCTGAGTCTTTCTGCCTCTGGCGGGCCTGGTTTCGTGGCTTCTCGGGGGCCCCTTCTCCTTGCGCAACCCTGGATGAAATCGTCGACTTGCTCTGTGCGTCGAATTGTCCTATCCTTCTTTCTGCCATTTTTAGCGCGCGCTCCGTTGCTTTGTCGTCTTCGTTTCGCCGAAACCCAGCCAGTTGAAATGGTAATCCTCAGCCAAAGGCAACTCACATGACATAGATTCGATTCACAAATGAGATGAAAGACCCAGCAAATGATATCTTCATGCATCTTGATGTTGCAGATTAGACTGAGACTGTGCCAAGCTTGCTGAGTCGGACTGATAATCCGTACCTCGCACTTAGCCCCACACGAATTCGTCTGGACATGGGCAGAAATCCTGGACACGTTGAGCAGGGCAACTCTTCCCACAGCAGTTTCCAGCTCTTGCTTTTTTTGTGTTTGAAAATGGTCTTTTCACTTGTCTCGCATCACCTTGCTGATGTCGATGCGATGCATCACTTCGTGCCTGGTCAGGTTAATAAGAAAAGAGCCAATTCAATGCAATATGTCAATGTGCAAATGGATGAAGGCGATTGAATGCGCATGAATTCCTGTCTGCCCTACTCGTGTGGCTTTACATATCTTTACATGCTTTCCAATGAGATGTCCCTCGTTACGAGCTTGGCACCTTTCTCCCAGGCATCCACCACAATGGACTGGCCGCCCAGACTTTGGCCGTTGAGTCCAGAGACAGCCTTGGAAGCAATCGACTGCATCACCGTGATCCACAAGTTCATGGAGATGATCTTGGTTTAAACATTTGATATTAAAGATATCACTTGCATGCTTATATAGCAAGGTTGCCTTGTATCTCTTGCTTCTGATGAATGAACGTCTATGTCAAGCCTGCCTGTGCAGCCTCCTCAGGTGTTGCGTACCTGCGTTTCCCAGCAAAGCGCCGACCAAGCAGCGAACATGACAACTGGGCCGGTTCACCCCCTTTTGGCTTGGTTGCGTGGGGGCCGCTGAGCACTGCGAAGCGTCATCGAGAACACTTGATTTGGGTACACGACAGCGGCTGTGCCCTTGCCCTTCCCGCGGAAGATCTCCACCCATTTGCTCTTGACCACCTTGGACAGTGTTCAGCAACATAATTAGTACCTTTTGTTCCGGGAATTGGAAGATTGCTCATGTAGGCCCAATGTAGGCTGCCTGATATCAAAAGTTTCCTGCATTATGTCCTATCTGCATGCGTCAATGCGAAACGGTTGCATTTCGCTGTCGGAGTCTCTGTCTTGAAGTCTGCTTTGTACCTTGCCGCCTTCCCTGCAAGCAACCTTCGACTTTGCTCCAGGCCGAGTCCACCAAAGTCTGCAGCTCTTTCCATTGCACACCCTTCAGGGCAAAGGGTTTCAACAGGTTTCAGCTCCAGCTTCTGCACATTTAACACTTAACATCACTTAATTGTGGATTTTGCCTCGGGAATGTTGCCAATCCACACCTTCTTTGCCGGGTCCTCATTGGCTGTGTCACTGTGAGAGATCCCGAGCTCCACTGAGCTCCACTGAGCTCCATGCGACCTTCAGGGGACTTTTGCCTTTGCCCTTGCCCTTGCCCTTGAGACCAAACCTCAAAAGACAGCAAACGTCGCTGTCTTGAGTCACAACTGAGGAAGTCCGGATGAGACTGCTCATTGAAAGCCCAAGAAGTTGCCAACACCAGTGTGTGTAGGAACAAGAAGGCTACTAGGGGCTCCTGGCATCGCTACTAGGAGCAAGGACCCTACTAGGGGCGCCTGGCCATACTACTAGGAACAATGTTTGCTACTAGGAGCAAAGGGACTCCAGACTCCACAAGTTTGAGAAGTTGCCAAGCTCCCAGTAGCTTTTTGCTCCTAGTAGTAAGGCCAGGAGCCCCTAGTAGCATCCTTGCTCCTAGAAGCGATGCCAGGAGCCTCTAGTAGCGTCCTCTACCGTGTGCCTTTTCATAGACACATATTATTGACAAAGTTCTTATGCCACGCAGCATAGGTGGCATCATCATCCCACCATAGGCCCCCATCATCATGCCCTCACAATTGTGAAGAGTGCAATCAGTGCAATCAGTGCAATGTGTTGACATCTCTGGCCCACACCGGTGAACCAGGAAGGCTTTTTGCAGTAACAAGAAGCTAGTAGGAACAAGTGCATCACTACTAGTAGCAAGTGCCTTACTACTAGAAACAAGAAGCTAAATAGAAACAATGAGATCTCATGAAGCGGAAACATCCAGTGTCCATCTTGCCTTGCCGCCGTCCCAAGGGCCAAAGTAGCCGAAGGGGGGCCCATATCCCTTGCCCCAGCCTGTCAAGTGTGACAACTGTGCCACAGCCATGCCATGTTCAACGGGAAAAGAAAAATGAAGCTCAGAGGCTCAGAGATCAGAGGCAAATGGAATTGAACTTTCAACGTCAGGACTGTTGCCCACCAAGAAGACCCTGCAAAAAGACCTATTGATCCCAAGTTGCCTTTGCCGTTCCAGCCACCATAGCTGCCTTTGCCGTACCTCAAATATCGGTGCCCAGACCAAAGAAAGCTTACATGCAAAATATACTAGTAGTTTCTTGTTACTAGTAGTACGGCCAGGAGCCCCTAGTAGCGTCCTTGCTCCTAGTAGAAATGCCCTGTGTTAACATGATTGGGATTTTCAAGGCGGCGCACATCTTCACAAATGGGCCGGTCTTGTCTCACGTCCACAGGCAAGGTGAGCCAAAAATGACTGCAAAGTACTTACGAATGCTTCAAGTTTCTCTGCCATGAGCTAAGCTGTACTCAAAGAGCGAAGTCCTTCACTCTGGGACAAACCTCACACACGAGCCAGAATTCTGAGAGGATGTCTGATGTCAAGCACTTTTTTGGGGCCTTTTGGTCGAGAGACCGCTGGCACTAACTGCGAGGACTCTTCGCAGAGCCAATGTCGTTCAGACAAAGCTAGAAATGTGGGTCTGGCAAGATTCAGAAGCTGAAGCTACTCTTTGTCAGCTGCCAGAAGCCCTTTCTTCCTTGGCTGATCAAATGCCCTCTGGAATCCATCCGAAGTCTCAGCGACAGGCTGAAAGGCATGACCAGCAATGACTGAATTGAGCACAAAGAACATCAAAGAACTAACATAGCTGCAGTGCCTATACCTCAGTTGGTTCAACATGTCAACATTCATTCTGATTTCTGGCCGAAGTTCGTGAGGATGTGCAAGAATTGATCGTGGTTCCACGATACTCGGGCCTCGAAAGAAACTTGTCAAGGCATGGCAAGGTCGTCAAATCCTCTCAGACCAACCATGAGTGTGTCGGTACCCCTTGCAGCCGGGTTGTTTGACATTTGCGTGTGCAGCCGAGAGTCCTTCACTGTTGCAGCCCACTGCCAGTGTGGCTCCTTGCTAGGTGTTCTCATATTACAACTGAGTACGGCTGATGACTCTGTTAAGAAAGACGCTTTTTAGAGTAGACTCTAGATTATTTTTTAACTATAACCTTTAAATTAAGAAATGTGGCTAGCAGGTAGACTCTAAATAAGGTTTCTTATTCTATTTTCTCTCCCTCGAGCTCTAAATCGCTCAACCGCATCGCTATGCGGATGGTCTTCGACTTCTTCGACCCGTATCCCCGGATGTTGTATAATGTTCTATCATGGTATAATGCTCAAGAATCTGAGATGAGGGGAGGGAGGGAGGGAGGGAGGGAGGGAGGCTCAAAGTTGAAGGCTGCGATGGATGCATCCACTCCATGTTGTCGTCGTCGTGTAGAAGTCGACCATACCGCGCAGCACGCAAGTAGGCCGCAAGCAGGCCCGCAAGGGCCTCAGTGATTGTACCTCAGCTGAAGTGTGGCGCGCCGCACCTCAGCCAAATGCCTCAGGCAAGCCAGGTCCGACTTATGCCGGGGCCAACCTAAGTACTTCTGATTCTGTAGGTCATCCTGGGGAGAAGGAACATCAGGTGGGAGCAGGGGGCAATCCCAAGCAACATGAACAAAGGTTCCGATGGCACCGCAATTGCGATGACAAAGATTTGGAGTACCTCCATTTTTCATGACAGAGAAGCGAGCGGGCGAAACAAAGGCACCCGTCAACACGGCGACCTCATGCGCCCCATGCGCCACCTCACGGGCAGCTTTACACCGAGCAGCATCGTAGGGCAAGCCGCGAAATCGCTGACTATCCTTCCTAGAAGTGCTCGTGAACGAAGTCCACATTTTATGCCGCCAAGCTTCGCGAAGCACATGGCCGATTTGATCAGTCGTCATGCCGCCCTGCGGGCGAAGGTCACAATGAAGCGGAAGCGAACTGTGCCGCCACTGCCAAGGTGCTGAAATGACCCATCCAAGATCCTTCAAAAACTTACGAACCAGTGCCGTCACGCCACCCGGGCTCGTCCAGTCGGTGAGCAACCGGCCAAGGGTCCGCATGCTACGAGTCACAGCCGTCACAGCGGCCTGTCCAGCCATGAAAAGAAGGTCCTGGGAGTGGCCAAGCAACAGTTTCTGCAAGTGAACAGATGCCGTGCGCTGACCGTAGCCGGCCCAGCGCAACAACCGCTCACACGGCACAACCTGTTTTAAGGTAGGAGCACGAAGTAGCCAACCATAGGTGGCCTTTGAAGCGACGGTGCACTGAGCGTAAGAATGCCGAACGGCGCCTGCAAAGGGAGCCGCACGCACACGCCGCGCTGCGTCTTTGGCTTTGTCCAAACGAGAACACTGCTTTTCGGTTGGACAAGTATTGCCCTTATATAGTGAAGGAACCCCCCAAAACCTCAAGGCAATTCGTCACGTGTGGAGCCAGGGCAGGGTCGGCCCGCATTTGGTCCATCTTACGTTTAGCGAACTGAGTTTTGCGGACATTTTCCGTCAAGCCAAGTTGCGATGCATGATGCTGCCGCAGGGACCAAACCTGACGCATTTCGTCGACCTCGGGGGCGCTGAAACTCCGGTCATACAGATAAATTACCTGGGTCAATCGCCGAGGGAATCTGGCCTGGATCACCTCAGTGGGGACTTGCATCAACACGTTTAATGCCCAAGGAGCAAGGCTGTCGCCCTGTGGCATTGAGGTGCTCACCGAGACCACCCGCGGCCGACTGCTACCTGACAACTGCAGGATACGTTGTTGCCGTTCCCACAGCAAGGAAATGGCTTTGGTCAACCATTCAGGGAATCCTCGTCTCTTGAGGAAAGCCAGGACACGTGCAGGAGCGACACGGTCGAAGGCCTGTTTGAAATCTAAACTGGCTAGGACAGAACCTTTGGCGTTAGCCTCAGCCAGTGCGACCACAGCGGCCGCCGCGTCGCGCTTCTTGCGCGAACCCCATTGGTGACCCGAGAGCTGGGCCTGATACCAGGTCAACGCGTCCTGGTTCTGGAGTTTGGCACTGATGTAAACCCTCCAAAAACACGACATGATCGAGATGGGTCGAAGTTTAGAGGCAGGGGTGGGTCCATCGAAGAGGAATTGTTTGGGCAAATGGGTTTGCCGTATGCAAGTCCAAACCGAGGGAAACACTTCGAGTCGCTCGAAAGCATGCAGCACTTGGACACAATCAGCCCACATTGACTCAGGCCAAGCCGCGATTTCTGAACCGGACCAACCGTCAACGCCAGCACTTTTGCGGCGCTGTTTGCCCACGGCTCGCAAGAGGTGATCCAGCTGCACCGGAGCCCAAACTTCGCCAGCCGCTTGAGGAACCTGCCACTGATCGAGATAATCGGTGCCCGAGATCTCGCCGGGCAGATCGGGACGTTGCCAGACCCTCTGCCAGAAGGAGCACACTGTTTCCAGGGCATCACTCATGGACGTGGAGGCCTCAGCGACGACTTCGGCTTCATCATCAACAATGTTCTGTTGACGCCGCTGTGGCTTTGCTCGAAGCCATTGGAAGGTTGCCGTTTGGGATAAACGCAAGCGCCACTGTTGCAGGACCCTTGTTTTATGCTGCTGCTCCAATTGCTGCACCTTTCGTCCAACAGTGGCCGCGGTGGATTCAGGCGTCCAATGTGGACAACGGGAGATTTTAACCCAAAGAGGATGAGTGGTACCTATGGACTGCCCACGCCTTTGCCTAAACTCAAGTTCCTCCAACCGACCGTGCAATCGCCGAAGAACTCGAATTTCATTGGGGGTAGAAGAACCGTATGGCTGATTGAAAGCAAACTGCCTTTTTCGGAACTTGGGACCTGTGCCTTTGCGACGGTGAGGTGTCTTGACCGTGGTCATGCCCAAGCCGCACCGTCGCGCTGAAGACACCAGGAATTCTTCCAAATGTAAGTTAAACATGGCCCAGATGTTGTCAACCTTAGTTTGCGGATCCTTAACGGGATCGGCTTCAATACTGCGAACCTCATCCAAAAGGTTTGCCATATCATTTCCGAGATTGATCAGCCCATTCGAGGCCCAAAAACCTAGTCCATTCACCTAGATCATCCGGAGATCGGGGCAAGTAGGTATTACACGGGGTAAGTTCAAAAGTCGGCGGGGCATCCCAACCCTCGTCCGCCGACAACTCAAAAGAGAAAGGTTTATGGTCCGGCCATTTTTCACTGCGCGATCGACACGAAAGAGCCGGAGAGTTGCAAATCACAAAGTCAATGATGGCCGAACTATTCCAACGGCTACCGCAAGTGTCCCGAGGGTAACACACAACCGCACCCAGGGTTTGAAGGGCCCGACAAAGTCGGGACTCATCGGGTTGCTCATTGAAATCTCCCAAAATCACTCAAGAATCATGAGTATGAGCCTGAGTCAATTCAAAGAGATTTTGAAAGAAGTCCGTTTTTTTGGGTCGATGTTGACTGTAGATATTGAAGACCAATCGATTTCCGATTTGAGTACACACGATATGGCCTCCCGGACCGAGATTCGCCTGCCAAGACGAATTTCGAACTGAGATGTGAACCAACGTGATCACACCTCCAACCCTGCTATCCATACCTTTACGTGCACAAGGGTCGCCCAAGGTGAAGTAGCACTGCCATCCTGCACGGTTGGCTGCCGCAGCGAACCGAGTGGCGTCTCAAGAGGACATGTTCACTTCCTGAAAAGCCATCACCTGCAGGGGATCGTACCGGTAGGTCTCGAAGGCACGCCACGTGGTGTCGGCCGAACCCGTTCAGACTGATCCCAGCAAGTATCCGTCCGGCCGGGCCAGGCTGCGGCTCTACGCCTTCCTCGGTGAGGTCCCTCCACCAAGAACACTTCTGAAGGGGAGGTAACTTAGGAATCTGGAAGACACCTTTTTGGGGGGGGTTTTCCGCCCGATGCTGCATCTCCAAAGTTTGCTTCCGGCCCCATTTCCAAGCCAAAATGGTGGGAAGAACCGTGTCGGGTTGCGTCTGTCGCAAAGTC